TCCCTCCCTCCCTCCTTACCCCCCCCTCTCTCTCTCTCTCTCTCTCTCTCTCTCTCTCTCTCTCTCTGCCAACTCCACTCCCTCTTCCCCCTTGGGTTCCCTTGATACTGGCCCCAACTCCCACACCTCCTCCTCCTTTGATCCAGCTGCTGGAGGGGCTGGCCTGTTCAATGGATCACAACCAATGTGAAAGAAATAGGGGGAATAGAATGCTTAAAGAACGAATGTAAAAGGAGGGACGAAACTGAAATGCAAATGACAAATTAAACTGAATTGTTAAATTGTCCTGTGGCAAGCTCTCCCATTCCGCTGTGAGAGCCATCGGCCGCTCCAAGATCAAATGCCTGGGAATGGAAAGCCGCACTATCCAACCCGTCAAGACAGGGACTCTTACCAAAACAATTTGTTTCAATGCAATTGGGCACTTTGGGATAATGTGGGCAGGAAGCTTGGAAAAGGGAAAATTAACTATGGAGCTTTGGCGCGCGAAACCTCAGTTCCGGCTTTGCTCCATTTTAACCGCTTGGCTTTAGTTCAGTGTACTTTCGCTAATCATGGCATTGAGAGTCTTTCTTTTCTAACGGACCAAGTCGGGATGGCTGACACATGTTTTACTACAATTTTGTGGAAGAACCATCACTTACTTCCAGTTTTCGATTAAACCACAGACATTGGTTTGCTTTAACAATTGAGGCATTCGCTTAACTACCAGTGGTTCAATTACAAACCGCCACAAAAAAGCTCTTAAAATAAGATCAAATTGAACCTTTTTGCAATCATTACAAAATACGTCTGTAATGGGCAGGTCCATTATGGTCATATGTTGAGGATCATCTGTCCTTCCTGTCACTACAGAGGAGCTGGTCTGGATCCAGGATGGATTTCCACAATCTCTGTTTTTTTTGTCTTTCTTTTGTTCTTCGGGAAAATGTTCCGAAGAGGGTTTAGCAATAGCAATAGCAGTTAGACTTATATACCGCTTCACAGGGCTTTCAGCCCTCTCTAAGTGGTTTACAGAGTCAGCATATCGCCCCCANTGTATCAAGTGCGTGTTTGGGCGAAGCACATCCCTCAGTAAACTGACAGTAAAAAAATCCAGAACCCAACTCTGTACAGAACCTGTCAGACCCGGCTGAATTTCACCCCTGCTCTGGAGGCAAGCCGTTCCACTGATTTGATTGTTCTCACTGTCAGGAAATTTCTCCTTAGTTCTAAGTTGCTTCTCTCCTTGATTAGTTTCCACCCATTGCTTCTTGTCCTTCCCTCGGGTGCTTTGGAGAATAGCTTGACTCCCTCTTCTTTGTGGCAACTTCTTAGAAAATGAAACTACTATCTACTCCTTCCTGGTTATGTGCTATCATCATCATCATCATCATCATCATCATCATCTTCTTCTTCTTCTTCTTCTTCTTCTTCATCATCATCATCATCATCATCATCATCATCATCATCATCATCTAATTTATTTAATTTATATCCCATCATTATTGTTTTTATAAACAACTTGAGACATCGAACATATCTAATACAACTTCCTCCTATTTTCTCCACAGTGACGATTCTGTGAGGTGGTTGGGCCAAGAAAGAATAACTGGCCGCAGATCACCCAGCCAATTTTCATGCCTATGGAGGGACTAGAACACAATCTCCTACTGATTGGACCAAAGCTGGCTTTCATGCCTAAGGCGGGACTGGAACTCATAGTCTCCTAGTGATTGTCCCAAAGTCATCCAGTCAGCTTTCATGTCGAAGGCGGGACTAGAACTTTCAGTCTTCTGGTGATTGGCTCAAATTCACCCAGCTGGCCTTCATGGCTAAGGCTGGATTTGAACTCGCGGTCTCCCAGTTTCTAGCATTAACCACTAGACCAAATTGTTGGTTGGCCTAGGCTGTGTTTCATTGCAAGAATTGTATTTGCACAATACTGGAAAAACGAGGAAACACCTACAGAATAAGAAATAATTTTAAAAAAATATTAGCGTGCAGAAATGGATAGATTAACACTGAAGATGAAAGAAAACACAGAATATTTTCGAACTTGGGACTTGTTTTATCAATAGTTGGATAATAGAAGTGGAAATTAGGAACTTAATATTGTTATGTAAACAAACTGACTCAGACAGTACACTGTTCACTAAGCACTTATTGTATGTTTAGAGAAAATATATAAATAAATTATGTATGNACCCTGAGCCGGTGAGATTTGAACCGCTGACCTGCTGATCTAGCAGTAGCCTGCAGTGCTGCATTTAACCACTGCGCCACCTTGGCTCTTCTAGGTAGGTCAGAACAATAAAAAATTAAGAAACAAAAAGGAAATTTAAGCAAAGTAAGAGTAAAATAATAGAACAAGGAAAGAAACAAGGAAAAATAAAATATAAAATATATCTAGATATGACTAGAATGCAGATCAGTGTGGTCATTAGTTTAACAGTGAACAGCAAAACAAAACTGTCCCCCATGGATATCATCTCCATGCTTTGTCATATTCCAGAGATAAATAGCCATTATGCAAAGCGCGCACTTAACAAATGGACCATGATCCATTTCTTATGGCAAATAAGTATTCATAAGTATTTGCAGTAAGTATTCATAAGAAGAAAATCAAACTAGACTATCTTTCCTAGAAATTGTTCCTATGGCTATTACATACAGCATAGTACCTTAGTGAAACACTTATTTCTTTTTCTGATATATCTTCCACATTATTCATATAGCTGTGTAACACTTGCTCCTAAACCGAGCATAGACAATTCAAGATTCTGTCATATACGGGGCCCATAAAGCAATGAATAAGCAAAACTACTTTGTCTTCTCTGAACTTTTAAAAGGTATGATCTGAATGCAAAAGGCTACCTTACTCATCAAGATTTCCTGCAAAAAATGGGTGTGGAGAATGTACCTTCTGACAGTGGTCTCAATAAGCAGTTTTCAGCTGATGACTACCGACACTTTTTGGATCATTACAAAAGAGATGAAAAGAAGCACATTGACATCAATGAAATCATAAATAAGATCAGGTAACTTTTCATAAATAACAATCAGGTAACTTTTCTTGATCACCATTCTTATATATTTGAGTTGAAGAGGAATAATGTGTCACCACCAATGGAACAATTAGGTCATTTTATTAATTTTTCTGGAAGCCCCTTTAGATGGCCTTGAATGTTACTTTAATGGTGAATCGAGTAATTAATATTTTGTTGTTACTGCAGTCAGTGTCATGATAGTATTTCATATTTTTGGGGTGCCTTCAAGTCAATTTTCCACTCCTGGTGACTGCTTGGATTAGTCCCTGCAGTTTTCTTGACAAGTTTTTCAGAAGCGCTTTGCCATTGCCTAGTTCCCAGGACTGAGAAAGAGTGACTGGCCCAAGATGATCCAACTGGATTTGTGCTTTAACTACTATACTAAACTGACTCTCATTTCACAGTTACATTAGAATAAAAAATAAAGCCCAGTTTGTCAGTCCAGATGTTTTGTACTATGTACTACAGGTTTGTATTTTCAGTTGACAGAAATCAATATATCATACATATAATCAGTGGTGGAATTCAAAAATTGTCACTACCGGTTCTGTGGCATGGCTTGGTGGGCATGGCTTGGTGGGCATGACAGGGGAAGGATACTGCAAAATCCCCATCCCTCCCCACTCCTGGGGAAAGGATACTGTAAAATCTCCATTCCCTCCTCACCCCACTAACATGCTTTCCAGTTCTGTTCTCCTGTGCAAGGCAATAAACGAAGATCCAGCCGATCAGCTGGGACTCGGGAGGCAGCCAATAGATGGGGGCGAGGCCAGCCAGAGGTGGTATTTGCTGGTTCTCCAAACTACTCAAAATTTCTGCCGCGTCTCCAGAACCTGTCAGAACTGGCTGAATACCACCTCTGCATATAATAAAAAAATAAGTTTGTTTCTGTAGCCCCGATGCAGACACATTTCCTTGGGTATAAGCCTTGTTTTGCTTGAAAAGAGATTAAAGTATGCCTATGTATATACTATTAAAGTTCTGATTTCCAAAATCTTCAGCTGGGAGAAACCATGCATCATATAGCAAAATGTTTTGAACCAAACTACCTCAAATGAGATAACTTACAGAATGCCTTCAAAATCCAGGAGCCATGACTCCCATGGAAATGAAATTTGCATTTTAAGGCATAAACCAGTTTATGATATAATAACAATGTGCCATAAAACATTTCCTGTG